CACTGGTTTCCTCTTTTTTTCCTTTTGTAGCCATTTATCTTGAGTGTGAAGTAGCATCACACTGTGGTTTTGATTTGCACTTCCCTGATGGCTAATCCTACGGAGTATCTTTTCATGTGCTTGATGTACATCTTCTTTGGAGAAATGTCTACTCAGATACTTTGCTCATTTTAAAAACCGGGTTTTTGCCTTTTTATTATTGAGTTGTAAGAGTTTTTTATGTAGTCTACCTATGGGTCCTTACCTGATAGATATATGATTTGCAAATATTTTCTCCTATTCTATGGGTTATCTTTTCATTTTCTTGATGGTATCCATTGAAACACACAAGATTTTAAGTTTGACTTCAGTCCAATATATCTATTTCGTTACTCATGCTTCCAGTGTCATAACTAAGAAGGTTTTGCCTAACAGAGGTCACGAGGATTTACTGCAATATATTCTTCTAAGAGTTTAACAGTTTAGTTCTTACTTTAAGTCTATGTTTCATTTTGAGTCAATTTTTGTATATGATGTGAAGGAGCTCAATTTCATTCTTCTGCATGTAGATGCCCTAGCACCATTTGTTGAAAAGATGATTCTTTCCACCATTGAATTGAGTGAAATCTTGTGTGTGTGTGTGTGCGTGCTCAAATTCTTTGTGAAAAGAAAAACTACATGAGATTTTTGTTTCTTAAACTTCTCTAAAACAGACAGGTCAGTGTCTATGTCTTCTTTTGAGAGTCAAGCAATTATACAAATAGTAAGTTTACATCATGCTTTCTTTACATCTTTCTTCCCTTCAGAACCCTGAATAATTTGGAAAAATATATGTGTATTGCACTTTTCTTTAGTTGAAGTCTGTCTAAATATATCTCTAAAAATAATAGGATCATGTTTTTACTGAATTGATTCATAATATGGTCCTATGTTTGTGAAATCCCTTAAAGGAAACTTTCACATGCATTTACGACAGGACTGCCTAATGAGAGCTGCTACGCCATTTCCACATAAAAGGATAGGTTTCATGTAATATTTACTCTCAATCACTTAGACATATCCAACTGACACATCATTAAAACTCACAGGTTTTCCTTGCTTCGTTGAGACTTCTTGGCTTTTCTAACCCCTTAACTATACTAGACATTTTCTTGTTTTGAGAAGGAATGAGACGGCATCAACCACATATGCATTTCATTAAAGTATCTGCCTTTCTCTTTCACACGTTTGGCTACTTGTACACGACCATTCTCAGACTGTTTTTTAAAAAAGATACCGTTTTCAAGATTCATTTTAGTGTAGACAATGAGCGCTGTGGATTTGCCAATCTTTGGCACTCGAATTCCAATGAAACCAAAAGGGCTCCAATCTCACTGGGGAAAGCTGCACAGTCACCTGCAGACAGGGTATCTAAGTGTCTTCATGTTAGCTCTTTGGACCTTTCTTGGTACTCAGGGAGCTGCAGCAAACCCTTACTGCAGCTTCATGCAGGCGACTGCCTCAAACAAAGGTCGGGGTGGTTTTTGTCATCTACAAGTAACTGGGCATAAAATAATTAGACAGCAAAACCCTGGACTTCTACAGCTAGGAAGACGCTTGGCGGTAACTGCATAGAAGAGGTGGCTTCATATTGTAGAGAGAATTTTTTTAAAGCTTAGTCAACACCAAATCTATAGCATTTTATTTGTGCCATAAAAACAGTTTACATTTACAGTCCACCACCACAGTTAATAGAGATAGAAACAGTTGTAACTACAGCATCATTAATGAAGACACAGTACATAAAACGCAAACTTTGCTGATTATCTAATGGGTGTAAATGTCTAAACACAAGAAGGTGGTCTTTATAACCTAACATAATTCAACACTAATAATCAGCATAAATAAACTCTTAGAGTGAACACGATTTAGATTTTCCTCTTAAGGAAAATTTTCTTAAACGATATTATTAAATATTTCCTACATTCTCTGGAGCTGCACTACCCGATATGGTAGTTGTTAGCCACATGTGGCTGTTGAGCCCGGAATATGACTAATCCAAATGGAGATGTGCTATAAATGTAAAAGACACACTGGATTTTGAAGACTATAAAATATTGTAAAATATCTAATTAATGATTTTGTATGTTGTATAGACAGTGAAATGGTAATTTTTGATGTATTGGGTTAAAGTGGATTATTATAACTAATTTTACCTGTTCCTCTGTACTTTTTGAATGTATCTACCAGAAAACTTAATATTCCATATGTGGCTCACATTTGTGGTTCACTTTGTTTTTATTGGTCAGTGCTGCCCCAGAGGCTAAGGGACTGTGGCTAATAAGGTAACTGCATTGGGGTTCTATTTGTCTGTGATCTAGGACGTTACACATATTTCCCCCCTCAAGTGTCATAGTTCACTCCACAGTATAAATGCAGGCTCAATACTTCTCAATGCATATTTTTGTTTTCTCATATCTCTCTACTGTTAAACAGTCTACGTCCTCTCCTGAGAACCCCTTTTCCCACTCTGCCTACATGGCTAATCCTTTTAACCTTTTAATGGCCAGTGGAAGCATTATTTTCTCTGCAAAATGTTCTCTGAACTTCCTTACCTCACAGCCAGGACCCCAAGAGAAAGATACATTCTGTCCTCTGGAGTATGACAGTATGTTGGCCAATATCTACTGAATGTCTATTGCTTGCTGGGCACAGGGATAGGTAGCTAGAAGTCCCCAAATGTGAATGAGAGGGATATGGACCCTGTGCCTGTACTGCTTGCATTCTACAGTGGGATACAGACGAGCAAATACCCACTCACAAAATGGTTTTGAAAAATGCTATACAGGAGAGATTTAGAGAATACACCAAAGGCACACCCCTCCCAGACTACATCTTTGTGGCAGATAGGTATACTGAGACTGAACTATAAGCATGTGGTCCCACAGGAACCCTGGACGTAAAACAATAATTAGGTGTTTAAGTATATAAACCGAACAGCATTGTTTTCACATCACAAATGATTCAAATGAGAATTGACTTCGAAGTACAAATTACCAAACAGGCATTCTTATATTACATATAATGCCCTAGTATCCTTGCAATGACTCTGTTAGCCAGGAAATTTAGGTATTGATTTATTTTAAAAAACAAAGAACAACAACAAACAAAATAGTCTCCACATAATTAGCAAGATTAAGTGAAAATGAATTCCACAAGAGGTGTGCAATTTACTTAACACTCATGCCACTATCAAAAGAGTTCAGGATTTCAGTGACTGGATTTTTGTGGGGTTGAGAAAACAGAATAATAATAAGTGAACAGCTTTGGGAAGTCATCTAGCATATAGCAGTGGACTTTTTAACACCAATGTTGGAGGGCTGGAAAATTCTTGGCTTGTTGGGCAATCTCCGTGGTTCAAAACCTGGTTAAGAAGAGGAATGCATTTAAAAGATAGATTTGAGTAGTCCAAATATCTTTCCATAGTCTATGCACTAAGGTGTGTGTGCGCCCTACTCCTTGGTGAGCCATTAGTCCCTTACCCAGAACCTATTAAGTTTACTTTAGACAGAATTGTGACAAGTGAGGCTATCTGGATTCCCAGTCCACACTAGACTTGAAGTTACCAATCAGAAGATGAGGAGAATGTTAGTGACAGCTGTGCTAGTAACAGTAAGCAAAACAGATTGTCAGTTAGTGAAGGGGGAGAGAGAGAAATTACAAAAGGCAGAGATAATCATTAAGTCATAGCATCCTACAGTCCTTCCGTGTAGCGACTGATAGCTTTTGTACCTCCTGGGAGAATCCCTAACACCTAGGAAGAATATAGAATAGGAACTGGATATATTTCCTGAATCCACTACAACCTACTACAACAATTACTTTTAATAAAATTGACACTGAATTGTCAAGAAAATGCTAAATGATGTTCAATAAACCACTTAAGAGAAACATTTGCAATACATTGTAGAAAAATCTTTGTATTATGGTTAAAAATAATTTTCGTAAAAAAAGTTTGACCCCCACTAAGGGGCCAAGCTCCAATTACGCTGGCCATCATTGAATTGAAACGGTTTGCTTTGTATCAATTCTGAATAAATGATGCACTAAAAAACAGCAGCCTTTACTAATTTGCCTACAGCAGATTTTGAATTGTGGTATATGCAAATAATATGGTATTATATGAGGTTTAACTTTTAAAAATGGCAACAGATTGCATAGTTCAATCAGTAGGGTGATGTAAAATAATTGTTTTTAAAAGTGCCATTGTCACTAAGGAAAACATCGGTACCATGTGCCCGGCACTGTGCTAGGTGCTGAATTTATTAAGCATTAATTTGAAAAATTGCTTTCACTTTCAAGACTGTGACAGTATTCTCAAACTCTCATTCATATTTTTAAAGGTTAAGTGAAATTTGCAGTACACAATACAGCCATTACATAACAGGCATAGAATACAGTTTCATGACTTGGATAGTTGTTGTTTTTTAAGCGCATTAGCAACTCCATTTTCAAATGCTATCAAATTCTTCAGGATATAAAAACCTACATGTAAGAATGGAGTGCCTCATTGGCTCATTTGTCTTATGTAATAAGTGTTTTAACACAGGCATGCCATTTCAGAATTTCGGGTGAGACTAAGCTATACTTTAGCTTTTTTTGTGTCAAGCAAAAACAATTTCAGCAACAACGTTGGTTTCCCCTGGTAATTTTTTTCATAGCAAATTACTAAATGCTGGATGCTCAAGTCAAAAAGAAACCTGACATCTGGGGAGGTGTTGAGGGGGTGTTAATAGTTCTAGGGAGATGTTTGGGGAGCGCTGAGGATACGATTTTTAAAACAGCAAATACACGGATAAGGGGAAATTATGGTTTCGTATGACTCTCTCCTCCCTCCACTTTCTCGTTTCACCAGTCTGTAGCCTCCCCAATTTAGAGGCGGGTTCAGCGAGATTAGGCTGCAGGAAACCAAGAGGCTCCACCGCGCTGCCGCCCCGGCCTCGTGATGTAATTGTTATTTCTTATTCGGAGACTGAACCGAGGAGAGCTGCTGAAGAAGTAGCAGCCCTGCTCCTTTTGCCTTGTCTGGTTGGGTCAGATCCTTCCCGGGGATATGTAGATTGGCTGACAGACTCCGCTGGAGACTTCGCAGTGACAAAGCAGCCGAGGATTAACCCTGCTCCTGGGTCCTACGTCTGTCCAGGGAGCTGAGCGGGGCGCTCCTCAGGTCTCCTTCCTAGTTTTCCTCCCGGAGTCGCTCCACATGAGGGCTGGGTGCCTACTACGTGCTGGGCGTGGGGTCAAAGTGACCCAGAGTTCGCGCCCGCGCCCCCCAAGATTAAAGCAGGACACACAGATTACAAGGAGATAGAAATTGGGTGGGGGGGGGGGTGAAAGGGGGCCCAGGGAGCGCGTGTTGTGGGGTGAAGGGGAGGAGGTAGACTTTTAAGCCGCCAGCACCCAGGCGGGGACCCTGGGGCGTCTGGGGTGCCCCGGTCCCCAGGCTCTGCCCAAACGGGAGCATTCGGCCTGGGTCCCGAGAGCGCTTCCCCGGGTTCCCAGGAGGAGCTGTCCAGGCGCCTGCAGCGGTCGCGGGCGGCTGGACAGAGCTGGGAGCCCGGAGGATGGCCCGGGCGCGCCGAGCAGCCCCTCTCTTGGGGACGCGGTCCTTTCGCTGCCTCCGGGCCCTGCAGCCCCGTCTGAGCCACCCGGAGAGCAGGCGAGGAGGAAATCCACGAACCATAGGGGGCTCCGCAGCTCCCGCGAGCGGCCCGGACCCGCACGGCTTCCTCCTGACCGGCTGACAATGGGAGGGAGGGGGAGAAAAGGGTTAAGAAACTTGGCTGAAGAGCTGAATGGC